TCGGAGACCCCGGCCATGCATATAAACCATATGGCTCCGATTCCGGAGTCCCGGGCAGGTAGTGGTTAAATTGTAGTTTGTTACAGCAATACTTGATGTAGCTAGAATAGCTCTTAAAATGTGAGTCCCACAACACTGCATGATTGTCTGGACAGAAGATGGGGAGGAAGGCAAGAAAGGCCAGGAGAATGAGGAGACCAGACAAGAGGACTTGGAGAAAGACATGGAGCTGAGGATGCAACGACTTAGACCACAGGGGGGTGAAGAGGACCGCCAAGGGGAACAAGGTGGGTTGAAAACCTGGGGGACAGGACCATATCTGTGTTGCATTAGGTCGGCCTGCTTGTCATAGAGCATATCAGTTATGAGGCCTGTGACTTGTACCTGACCTTAAGTGGCAAATTCTTGCAGCTATTCAGGCCCGTTGCCTGACCAGAGAGTGGGGAGGGTCGTTAAACCCACAAGTGGAACTTTTGGCATTGTGATAACACATTTTTATTCAAAGACCTATTATTATGAGGCCCCCTTTATGAATTTATTAGTAAAAAAAATCAAACCAAAATAATAAATACACGACAAAACTAATGAATATAGGACAAAAGTGAAATCTAAAACCAAACAAGTATATGAGAGACAAAAGAAGTAAATATAGGACAAAACTAATAAAGTACGAAACCAACCTATATATAGGACAAAAGTACATTTAAGGACAAAAAAGTTTAATGTAGAATGAAAACTAATATACAACAAAACTCATATATAAACGACAAAACTGATAAATGTTGCGTATATTCCAAAATTTAAGGTATATTAGAAATATATATTTATTAAAAACAAAACACCGGCGACGAGCAGAACTCGGAAGCAAGCGGGGAACCCAGCCTACGGGCCTGCTATTTCTTTTTTCATATTTATTAGGTATTAATTTTTTTCCCTAACTCACAAACAGCCTTTCCAAAACGAGTGCCAGCTTTTCAGTAAATCACTTGCCAAACAGTGAAATAAAAACATGCTTGTGTCCAGAGAATGCATAAAGTCTGAATTCTTTTATGTGAATTATCACAATACGTTAGGAAAGTTTGTGCGATTGTCAAATTCTTTTCCTCAGTTGCCTGAATTGTAAACAAGATTCTGCAGATGCAGATGCAGAAAACGGGTACTTCAGTAGTTGTAGAAAAACATGAGAGCTCAATCCTAGGACAAACATCAGATGGTCTCCATGTATGCTGTCTTTGATATAGTTACATAGTACTTGTGGTATTGCTTTGGGCATGGCATCACCATTCACAGACACTTAGACCACTCAGAGAATCCCAGGCTACATTTATGGAGATTCAGTAACTGACTCGTCCCATTTGCTGATCAATGACAATTCATAGAATCTATGTCATCAGGCAGAAAAATGTTGCTTTATGTACAGTGTACATGTACTTCCAGTACAAGTTTACTGATGTAGTTTCGTTTCTGGTTGAATACACCTGTTCTATTTGCGTTTATAACCAGTGTTAGAGGCAATATGTCGTCGTGTCCGTGAAAAAATGTTGTGACTGCATATTATGTGAAATTCAGGTTTTTTGTGAATTTTGATTCAGATTTACCTAAAGATGATTATACATAAATTTCAATGAAAACTTTTGCATAATTATGATGTAATTAATAAATGTTTAAACGTATCTTTATTACGTGCCTTCACGTTTGTGCTAAAATGTTGTATCTTAGCACACTCAGCACAACTCCCATATACAGTAGTCATGTTTCTGCCAAAATTTCATAACTTTAAAATTAGTCGAAATTCACATTTTCTTGATATGCAGTATAAAATTGTGTTTACTTTGGCCCCCTTTTCAGTGCAGCTTATTGCAATTTTAACCCAAAATCGTTTAATTTCATGACCAAAAAATGCATTACATACATAAAAATGTAAGTAGGAAACATGAGAAAGAAACAAATTTTGTGGAAAATTCAAGAATAGAGTATAAAACACCATCTGCCACTGATTCAGATGCTGCTGGAATTTTTTAACAGACTTCAGTCAGATGAGGGATATTTCACTCCAACCCGAGGGGATTTGGGGCTTCAACAGGAATAATGTGTGAATTTACAGAATTTATTTCCTACTTACTGAGTATGGGCCATCTTGTTCCTTTCAAAATTCATTTATATCAAATTTGATCAGGTACCAAAGCCTAGAATTAAAGAAATGTGTTTGTAAATACAATGCATGTACCTGGCAAAAGTTTCATTTCCTATGATTTGTCCCTTTACTGGGAAGCTGCAAACCTATTTTATACATTTTTCTCAAAAGCACTCGAAACCAAGATATTTCTCTGCACTGACACAATGTGTTTACAAGTCAGGTGCAATGGGATACATTTGCGACAGGAGCATAACTTGGGATGCTGGAATCTCAAAGACAATCTGTATCAGCATCACTACCCTATTATGAAAATAGTATGGGGTGTGAGAATGAGATACATGTAGGTTCATATTGAAACAACAGTATTGGGAGGAGATATGCATTGGGGTGTATGTACATTGTATAACAAAGATATCACAACATCATATTCAAAAACTGTGTGAACTGAAATGCCATGAAATTCCAGTTAAAATTAAGAATATATTGATGAGAACAGGTGTACATACATGTTTTATTTAAACAATAGATGTGTGTTATTTGCTACAGTACTGAAATACATGTACTTTATGCATATGAACATTTGTGGTTGAATTTAAAAAAATCCCCTGTATTCTTGATTTGTCTACTGGAAAGAAGTGCTAAAACTGGCACAAGATACTGCGTTAATGCCAAGAGAAACTCGGAACAGTATGTCAAAGGTCACACCAAAGCATCAGGATAACCCACTCACTGGCTACCTTGGCATACATGTGCCAGTCTTGACAGCCGAGCATCAAGGGCTGACGTCAGATGAAACAAAGGAGAAGAATGCGGGAGGTGGAGTTAGCAAGGTGGCTAGGCCACACGGCCCTGCCGCTCTCCAGGATAATCCAGCACCCATCCCAGCAGGTGATCCCTGGGTAATAGCAACCTCCAATCTGTGTTATCAACTGGCTCTCGTGCGGGACTGGGGCTTGAGGTTCTTTAAAACAGAGTTTCTGCTGCTGCTGTTTCCCCTATGAAAACTGAGGTGCAACCCGCTTTGACGTATTTCTGCACTGTCATCTTTGAGTTCCTTTGTATCCTTCATTTTCTTAGTGTTTCAACGGGTGATCTTTACTCTATAAATGAAATCAGGGCAGTGATCACTGTTTGCCGGGAAGGCCTCACGTTGTGACTTATTCATGCTCACCGTGAAAGCCTAGTGTCACTCACATGAGTGTGATATAGAAAGCACTCACAGCCCAATATACTGCAGTTGAAATGTGTGAGTTCAAATGACTTGACATTGAAAATTCCCCTTCTCATTTTTGGCTGTGTACAAAGAGATTTTGAGTTGAAGCAGTTTACCAGCTATTTATAGAAAGTGAAGGGCTATATTCAAGTTTTAGCAAGTTTGTCTTTGGCAAGATACAGTTTTGTACACATGATGTCTGAAGTACTTTACTCCAACATCTAAACAGACAACACCACACAGCTGTTTCCCGGGTTTGGGCCTTGTGTGCAGAGAGGACATTAACACAGTCATGCAAGATCAGCATAACAAAATTCCCTCAACAGTGGTTGGGTTGCATGTAGCACTCTTGGAAGGGAACTGAAGCACATACATGGTTTGGTAAAGAGATCAACATTTGAGCAAACCCCAGTTTGAGATCTAACCCATAGTTCGTGCTTGAGCCTTTTTTTTTCCAGTAGCTGGCTCAGTGCATCTGCTGCTGTTGGGCTTCCTAATGGACAGTGATTATGTGCCCAGATTCGCCTATATTTTTATGCAAAGTCTGTTTGGAGCTGGACAAATATACGGTGGAAGTGCTGGGGCAGTATGCTGTAACATTTGCATTGTGACAAGATATTGTTAACCTTGGCATGAAATTTCTGAGGGTGGCTGGATTTGGACAGCAGATAGGTCGAGGATCAATGAGCTACTGCGGGTGGTTGTTGCTATATTTGAATGGCATATTATCACTCTTGAAAGTTTTCCCTTGCTTTGAGATCTACATGTATGCTCTTTATGTGGCTGGATTTTTGTGGGGATATGTTTTATTGTATAAGTGATATTGATCACTGCTGGTGAAGGGACTTGTGTTGTTTGTACATGTTTTGGAGGCAAACTTTATAACAGTAGAGCACTACGTTAGCAGGGTGCCGGGCCCAGGGTGTTTACCCGAAGTCAGAGGACAGTTTCGTATCACCATTATTGCAGGGCTCAAGCAGAAAGAAAACTACGAATTTCACTTGTTGCACTTCAAATTTGAACTTGGCTGAGTTGTTTGAGAGTGCCCTCACATGGTCCAGATAGTGGATTATATTTCTGGGTCTTTGGACAGATGGAAAATGATTGCTTGGGAAAAATCTTGAGATTGCCATGTGCTTTTCTTATCATGTTTAACTTTACAATGACAAGCTCTCCTTGTAAATTGTCCGAGGTTGTGCTTGAAATCATAACAAAACGTCGAACCTCAAAAGTACTTTTATGTTAACTTGTCATGCAAAAAAATACTAAATCATTAAAAATGTAATTGGTAAACTTAGTGTTTATCCAAGGAGGACTGAATACTTCATGATGGCAAGTTGTCAGTCAGTCAGATATCTGACACACTTCCCACTGGGTGTCCTAAACACAATAGATTCTCGAAGATAAACTCCAGTCCCACTAATATCTAAATACCTGAAGTCACAGAACCCATCAATCATTTTTGTGACCCCCCCAGAAATAATACTATTTTTTCCATGTCCTCTCACGTTTCAAAACAGGTTAAATTGACTACAGTGTTGGGTTCCTTTTGGACCAAACAGTGACTTCCAACCAGGATTAAATTAAAAAACAAAGCCCAGCAAGATAGTTTTGGTCATGGTCCATCGGGGGTCACAATTTTTGCTATTTGCTTTGACTTGAGTCGCAACAGGTACATGTAGCTGACTCAATTTGACTTGAGTCACCCTGAGCAAATGACTTGAACCCGGCCACAGTTTGATGAGTTTTTACTGCAGTGCTACTTGTAGATGAAGACTCTGTGAACAGGTTTTACATTTACTTGACTGCATGGAGATGTACATGTACAGGCTAGCATGGACATAAGACCTACCAAGACATAACTGCTGAATCTCAACCTGGTCTCTTCCTCCCTAGTGTTAATTTTAAGAGAAGGTTAACACATATCAGTGACTTGACTTGACACCACTTTGACTTTTATAACTGGACCCCCTTGCTGTTGTGACTTGATATAATGATTCAACTCAAGTCTCTTCCTTAATAGAATTGCTGAACTGGGCATAAGTCACAAAATTCAGCGACTCCAAACAGTACTCAGTCACAGTCTTGGAAGCACTCTTGACGACAACCACTTGTCGTTGCAGGGGGTGAGACAGCAGGCGAGGCAGCAGGTGAGGAGCAACAGGGCAGGGATGACAAGGAAGTGGAAGACAGACGAGAGGAAGAGGATGAACGGCAGCCAGAGTATGGAGATGACAGAGAGGAGGATGAGGAGAGAGATGCAGAAGAGGTAAGCCCAGCCAAAGATCCAAAGATATCGTTGGGTTAAGCTTGGTTCACACATTCCCAGGGAGTACTTCTTGGCTGCCACAGGACAATTCTGGTTGTTTGGTGACAGATTGATAAAAACTGGGAAGCACTCCAACAGTTTTAGACATTTTTAAACTTGTCAGGGTGATTCCAGATCAAATTGTAATGCGTGGTTTACTCCTGTTTTCACGACTGATTCTGGATATTTTACAGCATTCTTACAAGTTTCATCGAGTTGGTGTTAGTATTAGTCAGACATCATGCCAAATCACTACAAATGTGTCAAGAATTATGCGAATATTTCATGGAATAACTTGTGACAGCACTCAGATTTTAAATCGACATAATTCTCGGTCATTCTCGATGATTCTAGACTTTGTTTATTTTTGAAAACTTTAAAAATTCTTCAATTTGGTTTTGTTTTGCAGTAACTTGAGATCATTTGACTTGAGTTGTTCTAATTCAACTTCCAGTTGGTACATAGTTGTTGATTATTCTTGTTTCACTCTTGAGCCATTCTTACAAACAGCGAATCAGGGCTAATTTCTCCCGATGCCAAGAATTTTTATGGGGAAATAACGAGATATTTTTGTTAAAAATTCAAGAATGTGTTAACCTAATGTGTTACACCTTAACAGGCTTTTCACTTGAGGTTCAAGTTCAACACCTGGTCTGTCTCCACAGACTTCAGAGATGTTATGTGCAAAGCAAATGGGAGAGTAGTGTTTGAAACATTAGCTTAACCCTAACAGTCCTCAATCCTTCACCTGTTGGAGGACTGAGGACTGTTAGGGTTAAACAAATGACCACAAATGGTCACTTCATGTTTACACATCCTTCAGAGACAACCTCATTAATGTCTACACGTCATTAGTGATTCACTTCATATTAAATTTCTCTTTGGTATACTTCGAATATTTTCAGTATTTAATGTATCTGCCTCTCAAATTTGTTCCCAGCCAAAGGAAGGAGCCAACGTTCCTGTAGTGGACCAAGATATTCAGATAGAAGGAGATAATGAAGGTAAGTGGTCTGTTTAATTGTGGTCGCTGTTCTGGTTTTTTGCCTTTCAATCAATCAGTTCAGTTTTTGTCAAAAACTTTGCATTTTCTTTACTCTCATGTACATTGGGAATATTTTGTGCCTTTTTTTTTTGGGGGGGGGCATGTTTTGTTGTTCCCCTGAAGTCGCGGGAGCTGTTGCCGGTGATGTGTCTGGGTGAAAGTTGACAGTCCGAACACTTCTTTTGAATGAGCACAAGCATGCAAGTTTACCTCAGATTGAAGCAGTTCCCTCAGCGGTGAGATTTTACTGGGTTTCAAATTTTTTTCCCAAAAGAGCTGGATTGTGAGAGGCTCAGTCGGGCGTGCTTTGCCACTTTAACACTGGACAAAAAAGATTCACATAATCGTAGCCACTTGGGATAACACTCGTGCATTGGTATCTGTTAAAAGTTCTGAAAAGTTATTGGTTACAACCCATTCGCATACCAGCTTGTTTTGAACTTCCCATGTGTTCCACTGGGAAATAAAATCTATAGATTATTGAAATCTTTCATATATTAATATATCAAAATCTTTGTTTCAAGCACGAAGATTATATTCATAACTAATGTTATTGGTTATTTCACAGACGACATACAGCGTGCAAAATGGACAAACGCCATGGTAAAAATTGAACTACAAACAATAAAAGATCAACAAAGATTTTTAAAAACCCGCACAGGTGTGAGAATAATTTCCCAAAACAACCAAACCTTCTGCTCCAAACCACACCTCATATGAAAAGGAGCAGAATTAAAAAGAAGTGCGTCATTTGAAAATTCCAAAATTTCAAAAGATTCATGATACAGATGGCAATAAAAACTATTCAAAAATAGGAAACCGTTGAAGGGCCTATTCCAGAAGTGACAATCCACTGTGGCTTGGATCTGCTCATAACTCCCAGTCCTCTGGATTCTCCCGTCATAGTTTTCATGGTTTTGTTAAATGAAACTGAAAAATCCTTATTATTTGCCTTTTCTTTTTACAGCATAGCATTTGTTTCGATCTAGGGAAGGATTAGAGGAGGGTTTTTTCAGGAACCTGCCCAAAACATCTAACAAGTGTCCCCTGTTTGGAAAACTCCTTGCACACTCTCCTCTCTGTAGACAAAGAAAGGGCTAGATTCTGCCTTCCAAGGCTTACATAATCAAATGAGACAAGTTTTGATGGATCTCAGAGGGTCAGGGTAAATACATGTCCAAGGGCCATTCATTCCATTTTTTTTTTACACATACATCAGCCTCCAATCCTAGTGTTGTTAATCATGCCTACATCCTGAACATCTTGATAAATGGACGGAATATCATTCCTCAACTTGGCAGTGGCCAGGAAACAACAAACATGAGTGATTACTCTCACAAACAAATGTTTGTGTCATGTTATGTTAATACAAAACTGCCAAGTTCAATGATGGGGGAATTGTCATTGACTAGAGTGGATTACCAACACTGCTGTTTAACCCTTATTTCCTTTGGATATGTTAAAAGTTACATTGAAGTTGGGACGAGGGCGGTGCAGGTAACGTGACACGATCAGTGTGGTGAACAGCTTGTATTCTTAACAGGTGGAAGGGCTTGCGGTAGCGCCATGCTCCTGACGACGGACTGAGCGCGCAGTCCGAAACGTTTAATATACTCCCGGTTCTTTTCTGAACCACACATACTCATAAGAGAGATGTATTCCTTCACATGGTGCTACCACAAGCCCTTCCACCTGTTGCTGTCCTTCACCATGAATAGCCTGAAATTCTAGATTATATTCTGAGTGCTGCAGGATACGTCTAGTCCAATCTGAAGCTGAGGCAGTTCAGTTGTAATACCCCTGGAGAGCTGTAGTGCATGTTTCTAGTTTCAAATCCCTTTTGTGTCCTTATGGGCATAAATTGAAAACAGAGTTTAGAGTGGATTTCATGGCCTTTTTTCCATCCTATTGTATCTTCGTTTCTGAACCAGCGACAGAGACTAGTTTGAGGGAGGATTTTATACCTATGTTCAGCAAAAAGTAAAACAAACAAAAAAATTCAGAACCAAAATGGACAAAACAAACAATATCCACTCCTCAAGGCTGGCTGTGTTTTATTAAGGGTGGGATGGGTGATGATGGGTGTCGGTTGCAGGCTGTCACCATTTAGTGCTGATCAAGTGTTGTAACACTGTCTTGCTTCACATTTAAAAATAATGTGCTTAACAGATGAGGAGGTAGGAAATGAAAAGTGGGAAGTGGAACAAGAACAGCAGCAACAAGAAGAAGGGGAGGAAGAACTCGGGGATCATGCTGAGAATCAGCTGGATGAGAGACCAGCGCTCCAAAGACCAGCATTCATATATGATCAGGAAACAGGGCGAGTGAAAGAAGAAGGCAGGGTGGAGGATGCTGCCGGGCATGGACGGGATGAGGAAAATGATAAGAGGAGGGAGGAAGAGGAGCTTGGGGATGCAGGCGATGCGGACGGAGCTCCTCAAGGTGACGAGCAGCCAGTAGATGGAGAGGAAGTAGAGCAGGAGGATGCTTGGAATGTGGAAGAGGATGCTGGGAATGTAGAGGAGGATGCTGGGAATGCAGAGGAGGATGCTGGGAATGTAGA